TACACATACACACGGACGCACGCATACACACACAGGAAAACACATGCACAACATACACACATACGCGCACACAAAAAGATACACACACACGAAAACAAGCACACACACACCATACACGCACATATGCACACACACATGCACACGCACACACACACACACACACACACCCGCACACACACACTCTCACACACACATACGCACGCAGGCACACACACAGATACACACACACACACACACACACACACACACACACACACACATACGCCACAAGCACAAACACACCTACGCTACACACATACACAAACGCACGCTTACAAACATGCACAAAAGCGAAAACACACACACGCACACACAAACACACACTTCATGCACGCGCACACACAGAGACACACACACATGCACACATACGGCATAAGCACCCACACACACACGCGCACATCATACACACACACACACACATAAACAAACACACTTACATACGCACGCACGCACACGGCACGCACGCACACCCACGCACTCACACATATGCACACATACGCAGACGCACACACACACAAACACACTGAGAGAGAGAGAGAGAATCGAGATAAAGAGAGAAAAAGAGAGAGAATCGAGAGAAAAAGAGAAAGAGAGACACCCCTGTTCAAATTGGAGAGTGGTTAAAACTGCGTGAGTGCTTGTGCGTGTGTGTGTGTGATTATTATAGTTTGTTTTTATCCATGGATAATCAATGCTAATCCGAAAAAATTGGTTGCGGGAGATTCAAGCTGATGGAATCTGGAGAAAAACAAGACACGCACACGCAAACACTTACACACACACACACACATTCATGCATACACACACACACACACACACACACACACACACAGAGAGAGAGAGAGAGAGAAAAAGAGTGAGAGAGAGTGAGAGAGAAGAGAGAAAGGAGAGAGAGAGAGAGAGAAAGAGAGAGAAGTGGAATGCCTCATGCGCGAAGGACCGAACGCGCGAAAAAAAAATCAGCCAATCAGACTTCAGTAATCTAAAATTTGGAAAGAAAGTAAACACTTCCCGGGACTGAATATTGATATGGGCCGAATATAAAAATGGAAGAAACATGCAAATTTTTCAAATTGTCACTGACCGCCGCTGACTTGGAACAAATTTTATATTTCAAGGCTTTCGTTATGAAAGAAGCAAAATATTGCTTTATTTAATTCATTTTAATTGAAAGGCAATTGCTTCTTTTTAAAAGTTGACTTTCGACTAATTTTGCTTTCGGTCTTTCGTTTTTGAGTTTTTTAGCCCATGCGGTCCTTCGCGCATGGGAATAGCCCCCAGCGAGACACACACACACGCATGTTTATTAAGATTTGAGAGAGGCTAAATTTTGCGCGTGTGTGTGTGTGTTTGTATGTGGGTGGGTGGGAGGGTACGTTATACAAGTTATCCATAGATCTGTAGAAATTGATCTGTAAAGATCTGTAGAGATTCAAGCTGTAGATTTTGGAGAAAAATAAACGCTAGCCCCCCGGTGTTTATCAGCGTGATTGTTTCAGAAGCGTGAAACTTTCGAGATTTCCAAATATATATCCAATGGGAAAAAATGAGCTGGGTGTGTATCTGTGTGGTAAAAATGGAAAGGTGTGGGCCAAAAAATGTTGTTTATACAAATTGTAGTAGTGGTGTTGAATTTATGAAGGGTATTTTCGAATTTGTGTTAAACTATCATCGGATTAATTTTTTTAATGGATTGTAATATAACAATTGTGATCCCTATGATAGATAATAAATAATAATAATTGATGATATGGCATGTTTTTTATACTGAAATTGACTTTACTTGTTTATGTTCCTCAATAACCCACTGCGGGCTGTTTTTTCACTCATCAAACCCATACAGTCACTCAGTTTTTGTCTCCAGCTTACATGAACGCAAACTGAAAAAAAGTCGGAAAGTTTTGGACTGGCACTGTTTTTTTTTCACATCCCTACGTTTCATGCCGGATAAATTTAGGTTCACATGCTAGGGTGTCTAATTTTTTGTTCCGTCTATTGAAAATGGCAAGGAACCTTTTTTATGTTTTTGTTTTTGTTTTCCACTTAAATTTTGGTTCCGCAAATAATCATCGGAATATACCAAGTTGCAGCCTTTTCAGTCGTGATTCAAAAGATGTTTAGCGAACTTCAAAAAAATGTACCAGTTTTGAGAACAACTGGTTAAAAGTGTTAGATTTTAAGTTTAGTTTCGAGCGAGTAATGCGCTCGAGTAACGCTCGTTATATAAAAGTATACTTTTATGTAAGCTTTGAGGCTGTAAACACTTTTATTGTAAGTAATTCAATCTTTTCTGTTATCCTTCTTTTTTAAATGACAAATATTGTCACTTGTGTAAATGTAAAATTTTACGCGGTGATATAGCTCGAAAAAATCACACTACGCCCGACACTAATTTTTTTTAAATGAAAATGGTCGGCCTTTGTGCTGTGTACTTCCGTAACTTTTTCAGTTTCGTGGAAATTTCTGAAATTGAAGGTTGGTGTATTTTTGGGTATCCGCTCAAAAATAATTGGCCTTGTTTCCGAGCTGAGCTTTTACTGCAAATACTGAGCCCAAATGCTTTAAAAGTTGCATGTAATGGTTTGTGTACGCGCTACAACCGAGTTAGAAAGAAAACTATTTTTTAAATCTTTTTTTTTGGTTTCATTTTTTGGTTTGGATAATCCATAATTGTTTTTTTTCTGCGATTTCCAGAGGATCTATGTGAAGCTATCCAGCTTGTCAAAGCATAGTCCGTATTTCCTTTTCGCCCACATTCCAGACTGAATTATTTTGATGAGCAAAGGTCAATTTTTAGTCTAATCAAGGTCATGGTACCTTTGTTGCAGCCAAAATCGGTCAGGCTGTAGTAGCACTGAAGCTAGCGGTCAAGTGAGTGAGCGTCCTCGCACACTATCATTGCTTTGGGAGGGGATCAATCACACATTCTCAAGATTACACATTGAACGCCTCGCCTTACCATTGTGCTAAACGCTTCTAATTCTATCAGCTCAATTTCCTCAGTGTAGGTAATGCAGGCTCTGTGAAGCTAACGTAGAACTTCTGTGCATGCTAAGGTTTTTTAAAATCATTTTTGGTCGTGACTTATAAACAAAAAATGTGAAAAAAATAACGTTTAGACGTGTTTATTAATTAATATGGAAACATTTCGAAAAAAAGCACAAAAACTGAAAAAGATCCAATATTAGTTTAATGAGTGCTTTTTTGTTTCGATAAGAATTAGTAAAACATTAGAAACTCAGTAATAAATTTCAAAATTACATCTGAAAACAAAAACCGCTGATAAAATTTTGATTAATTTTATTTTCAGTTCTTTTTGCATATTGGTGGAGTCTGTGACATATAAAACAAATAGTTTATGTATCTAAACAAAAATTGAAAAACAACAAAATTAAATTTTAACTACCTCACCATTTCTAAAAATTGCCAAATCAAACTAAGCAGGTGCGAAAAAAGCACAGAATTTCAGATCAAAAAATAACACCGGAGTTTTTTTGTCTTTATCATAATTTCAAATAAGCTTTGCGTATTGATGAAATTATTTTCATATTGAAATATAATGACATCGAAACTTCAAAAAACACCTTTACAAGTCGTCGACCAAACATGTTATCAAATTAAAATGTTCCCATGCACACAAGTTCCGAGTCAAATTCACACAGCCTACCTTGCCGACAGAATGAGCCGACAGAATTTGAGAACGATTTAACCCGAAAAACAAAAATTAGAATTTCTACACTCGTGTATAACGCTTAAACATGCCTCATGAAAATTTTAATCAATTTTGGCTCAGATTTTGCAGTTAAAACTACGCCTAGTCGAAAGCTACCGAAGAATTCTCACCAATCCACGTAGGTCGCTCAGGTCTTAGATATTACTACTACGCCAACTAACCACTTATTATGTACAAAATAATGGGATAAAAATCATTGAACTCATTTTTCTGCACCATTAAAAAAGTAAAACAACTAAAATCCCACTTATCGGACAAAAATATGAGCAGATACGCGATAGTCCATAAAATAGATCTGTTTCGTCTCAAGCATCAGCGTAAATAATGATCAAAGTGACCTGATTAACTCATTTAATTTGAAATTTCGACTGAGCAAGTAGTCTTTGACAAGTGAAATCTATGAAAAAATCGCTAGGGTAAAAATTTCCGTATGCGAATCACGATAACTTATGAAACTATATCAAACAGGCGTCTTTGGCAGGTGAAATTCTGGACATATGTCGGCACGTGAAAAAGAGTTCAGCCCACCATAATTCAATTAATGACCAGATCTTTGAATAACCTAGGCAGTGACTTAAAGTCAAAAACAACTTTGTCTTGACTAACAAAAAATTCATAAAAACCCTTCGAGAACCTTCAACCAAATTTTATTATTATTAAAACTATAAACGTTTTTTTTTCGGCAGCAATTTCAGCTAGTCCAAAAATTGATGTACCAGTGATGAATACTTGGAGAAGGGACAACTTTATCGCTAGCTCATGTTCTGGAAAAACAACTAAAAAACACCCACTGTGCAAAAATCTGAAAAATCATCTTCTGTCAAGTATTTAAGGAGAGCTGAAAAATCAATTTGTTGGAACTAAGAAACCTGTTTTAAAAAATCAATAGCAAAAATCCTAGAGCTGGGCCGCTCCTGCTCATATTTACTTCCAAATGCAAACTTATTTCGAAGGATCTCATTTTCTGTGATTTCGTTCAGCTTAAAACTGAAATCTGCATGCGTTGGTCCTGAAAACTGCACAAAAATTACAATCAAGGCGAATGAGTCATCTGACCTTGACACGTCTGACCTTGTTCTGGTTTTATCATATAAATTTAACAAACATTCAGTCAAATCAAGCCATCAAATGAAAAACAGAACGAATGAAGTACCTGCCAGACACATTGTGACCTGTCAATTGAATCTTTTGCGGGGTCAGTTCACTTCAAATCATTGTTGCCTCTTGTCATCGGTTGAAGAACGTCTGAATTCGAGAAGTAGTAATGCGGACACCGTTTATCATCTTGCTCTGTCTAGGAGCAGCGTTAGCGCGTAAGTATTGTCACACTTAGTTTAAATTTCTCATTGCGTAATTTCATCCGATTTCCAACCTGACGAACCATCGACTATCGAACTCCCTTTTTTGACGTATTGTCATCAAAGCCTAACTGTGATGTAAATTGAATATCTTACGTTATTGTTTGGTTTTTATAATAGGACTTTTATCTATGGATTGTTTTAGTTGATGACTCACTGACGCGGAGGAAGTTGAACCAGGATGCGCAAGTGCGTTGGGCAGCCAAGAAACTGTACCACGATGCCACATTGAACACCAAACGTCACAAGAGAGGAATGGTCACTGAGAACGGAGTGAAAGGATTCGTGACCCGAGTTATGGAACCCGAATCGAACATGGCCTCCAACAAGACTTACCAGGGTGTATGTATCAAATTGTGCAATCAATTGACAAATATTTTGCTTTTAAGCTACTGCTAATTTTGCTTCCAGGAGGTGGTTAAGAGAATGGGAACTGGTCAACGAGGAAACTGCGGTGCCAATCAGTTTGAGTGTGACTCGGGGGATTGTATAGCTTATCAATGGCTGTGCAACACTATCAAAAACTGTCCTGATGGTTCTGACGAGTCAATTTGTAGTTGTAACGTCGACGAGTTTGAATGTGCAAATGGAAGGTATGTCGGAAGTTTTTGAACAAACGTTAGAACTGATTTTTGGGTACCTCTTTTGGCAACTAGCTGCAATTTCAAGCTTTTGTAGAGCTCTGGACACAATCTCGGAAGAATTATCTAGAGCGAAAGCAGGGTTTGAATTTTTGGAATTCTTGGTACACTTTAGAGCAAGGATATTAATTATTGCATTTTGAAAAGGGGTTACTTTGACTGACTGTACAGGTGCGTTTTGGGAATTTACGTCTGCGATCAGTTCAACAACTGCGGAGACTTCAGTGATGAAGCGAACTGCTGGATGTGTCCCCCTGGAGAGTACACGTGCATGAACGGAGCCTGCATTGACGACGACCTGGTTTGCGACGGGGACAACGACTGCCACGATTGGTCCGACGAACTGTTCTGCGAATCTTGTTCCTATGGTCAATACCAGTGTCCTGGATCCAACGTCTGTATTCCGGGTGAATGGCTCTGCGACGGAGATACTGATTGTCCCACCGTTCAAAATGTAGTAACAAACGAGGAAGCCAAGTGTCATTGCGGAATTGATGACTTCGTATGCGCCAACGACAGGTGTGAGGGTTACTCCGACATTTGCGATGGTATTAATCAATGTGGAGATGGTTCCGACGAGCTCTTCTGTTGGTGCGGAGATGATCAATTCACTTGCCGAAATGGTCGATGCATTCCTAGCTTCCTTCAGTGCAATAATATGAACGATTGCGGTGATTTCTCCGATGAGGTGCATTGCTTCTGCGATGCAGGTGAAGACTTTGTGTGCACCAACGGAAGGTGTGTTCATGGAATGACCAGATGCGATGGTGTGAATGACTGCGGTGACTTTTCGGATGAGGTTGATTGCACTTGTAGCTATGGGAAATGGATGTGCCAAGATCTCTCGATGTGTGTAGCCACTGGCGACATCTGCGATGGAGCTCCCGACTGTCCAGATGGATCCGACGAATACCATTGCTCATGCACGATCCACACCTTCAAGTGCGCTAATGGATTTTGCCTCAGCGAATACACTCGCTGCAACGGGCAGAACGACTGCGGCGACAACTCGGATGAGGCGCTGTGTTTCTGTAAGCCTCACGAGTTCCAGTGCACGACAGGTAAATGTATTGCAGACTACTTGCAGTGCAATGGCTTCAACGACTGCGGAGATCATTCGGACGAGAGAGACTGTGGGTGTCCCGACAGTCTGTTTACATGTGTGGGTGGAAACTGCGTGCCTCTGACAGCTGTCTGTAATGGAATGGATGATTGCGGAGATTTGTCGGACGAGGCTGAATGCAGATGCGACCCGAATGAGTTCCAATGCGACAATGGACAGGTTAGAATTATTGAACAGAACACCTGAATGTATGGAAGTGTTAAGCTGCCTTGGAAACTGCCTTAGAGAATTAGGCATCCAAATGCATAGCTTTGAACGGTCAATTACCATAAAAGAATTTTGGGAACAGATTTACTTGTCATCCAGGACGAAACAGGATGTACTACTGTAGAGTCTAAGTTTGACTCGACCGTTTCAGTGTGTGCCTAAATCAACTCAGTGCGATGGTACGAACAACTGCGGTGACCGATCAGATGAGAAAGAGTGTGGAGGCGGAGGTACTGGAGGGGGAAGCAGGATGTGCTCTCAGGGAGAGTGGACTTGCAACAGTGGGCAGTGCATCCGGGCAGACAGGAAATGCGATCAGTTCCAGGACTGCGTCGACAACTCGGACGAGAAGTTCTGCACTGGCACTGGTGGCGGCACTGGTGGTGGATCTGGCTCTTTAACCTGTAGGACTGGCGAGTTTGTCTGCGAGAAGAGCAGGAAGTGCATCATGAGTTCAAGGAAGTGTGATGGAATCCCGGATTGCGACTATGGAGAAGATGAAAGCAACTGTAACGTGAGACCAGGACCGGTTGGTATTTTATTTCTATTAACCCTGCTGAGAATTGTAGTCTTGAGCTTGAACAGAACTCCCGAGTAACGACAAACATCCGCCCCAGAATTATCCAAATGAAATTTCCACTGAAGGGCTTGGAAATTACATGGCAAATATGTCAATATAAATGTTCTGTTTTAGATTACGACAGATACTTGCAAGTCGGACGAATTCGAATGTTCACCTAACATCTGCATCCACAACTCATGGGTCTGTGACGGCAGAGAAGACTGCAGAAATGGCAAAGACGAGATCTCCTGTCAAAAGTGCCGACCTGAAGAGTTCGAGTGCCGAAACGGCGAATGCATTGACTCTCGGTTCTTGTGCGACATGCAACCCGACTGCTTCGATGGATCGGATGAACTTCCTCAGACTTGCCGAAAGCAGCTGGCGTGTCCTCCCGGAAAGTTCCTATGCGACGAGAGAAACTGCATTCCAGATGACAAGGTCTGCAACGGATATGTTGACTGTCGCGACCAGACTGATGAACTGCAATGCGAGAGCCACCAGCGATGCAACTATGATCAGTTCCAGTGCGACGATGGAAAGTGCGTGCCTGGAAGTTACAAATGCGACGGACACGCCGACTGTTCTCGAAAAGAAGATGAACGATATTGCAGTAACGGAGGAGGCAACACTGGGTAATATATAGCATTTCGAACAATTGTAACAAACAAAAAATAAAAGAACGGAATTTGTTCAACTGGATTTTGAAAATGTTTCGGTCGTTTCCTGAAAAAATTTTCCTTTCTACTTAGTCTGTTTTATTGGTTGGGAGGGATGGGTGGGAAAGACGGAAAAAATTACTGTAGTTGAAACTGATGTCAACAACACGAGCCCAGCAAAGAAATGGCCATTCAAATAAAATAGAAGCACCAAGTATAAAGAATAATAAAATTTGATATCTGATAAATTTGTTTGTTAGACCTGCGGTACAGCCTCCTAACATCAATTCTGGCGCTTGCGACTTCCAATGCTGGGACAAAAAGTGTCTCCCATGGGCTGCGAGATGCGACAGAAAGAGGGACTGCAGCAGAGGCGAAGACGAGATGAAGTGTGAAACCCAACCTACCCAACCGAAGCCTCAGCCCAAACCCCAGCGCATCACAGGAACCTTCACCGTCCACCACAACGGGGCAGGAATGGGGGGCTCAGCCGGAAACTCACTCTCTGATCTTAGCCAACCACAAGGAGGCTGTCCATTGGGGGGCCATATGTGCAACTCAGGGGAATGTCTGACTGCGGACAAGAGGTGCAATTATGTGTACGACTGCTGCGTTGCCAGCCGAGATCCGGATTGCAGAGACTGGTCGGACGAGGATAACTGCAGCTCTGGATGATTCTTAAGGACTGCTTGATTTTGCGCAGGCGCATAATTTATATTTATGAGCGTAATTGAATTTATTGTTCAAAAATGAGCAGATCTTTTTAAATTATAGGACGCTTAAGTTGCAGGAAGAGTCGTTTTCAAGATTTTAGGTTTTAATTATTTTTACAAAGGTTTTGTTTTAACCATTATTGCGATTCCTCGAGGGCTAATGGCGTAAAAAAAACAATCCTTGAAATATACCTGGATATTTTGAAGTATCAGTTTGATAGTTCATTTTCTTAGGCGGCAAATGAAATGATACCCGAAATCAGAACCCACAACGGGACGAACAAATTGTTTTGACGCCACAATACCAAATTACATGAAAAACAACGCTTAAGAAAAGCTGAAAATGAACAATGAAAACTGGTGCGCAGGCTAAAATGCAAAGCCCAGTTAAAACCATTCTAAACGGCAGAATATAACTAAGCTAGTTCATTAAAAATCGCAGCCATATTACTGAGCATTGCAACAAAATCACTAAACTAGCGTGTGAGGGGGGGGGGGGGGCTAAAGATTATCTCGGAGGGTTGTCTACTAAAAAACCCATTGGTGTGTGAACTTGGGTATATCAATACTGTTCTGCGGATAATGTTGCTCCAAAGGAAAACCGATGTTGAAAAGTGTAATCATGCCGTTCCCAATGTTTAAAACCGCTCACCATGATCAATCAGACTTTAATCTTCCCCTGACAAAAATATAAGTCTGAACACATGTAGTCTCGCTCCAAGTCAGGAGGTTAAGTCACGAAAGACGACACAGAGGTATCTACTATCACTTCGTAGAAATCGAGAAATTCTCAAAAATACAAGGGATCATGAAGAACTGTATCATGAATTGAGGAACAGCAATTTCTGAAAAAGAACTCAATTTTCCCACAAACAAAACTTGAAATGCTTGCACTGTTTTGTGGTTTCACTTACACACAAAAAATTTTCGCAAGTAAAATGGCAATTTTGGCCTCTATTACACTCCAACAAGGCACAACAGGTTATCATGCAGCAAATCGAAAAGGCAAAGTCATAGAAGCTGACATCGCAGAACATTAGAGCAAAAAGATTTGGATTTCTTGAATTAACTAACCATTAATACAACTGTTTCACGTAACATGAATCAAAGTTTCTTGGATCCCGCAGTGAGGATCCTTGGATAATCATGGATTATAATTGATTGTAGTAGTCAAAAGTGTTGCCATTATATTGTGTAATATTTAACTTTGTGTTATAATGGATTATAATCTCTATAAATTTCAGTCAAACTTTCCGCTAATTTGGCAGCTTTTTCTAAACTACCAACAGCCAACTTGATTTTAAACCGACTCATATGCAACTAAATTTTTTGCAAAACCATATCCCTCACACTTTAAATCCAGGTCTTCTCAATCTCAACAAAAAAGTTTAACAGGCCCAAACTTACGATCATCCCCCCCCCCCCCCACACGTACACACATCAAACGCATACACGCACATTTAACCGCACACCTACCCTTAGCTACTTGGCACCCTCACTATATTTGAGGGGGGCAAAGGGCTGTAGGGCATTAAAGGTGTGCGCGAGGGGGTTGTAAGGCACGCGTTTAAGGCATTTTTCACATATTTTTACGGTTAATGTAAGTAAAAGGTAAGTTGTGGGGGAGGGGAGGTGGTGATTAAAAAAAGAAAGTGAGAATGGTGGGAGTTACTGTATATATTCAAGGGGAAGGGGAGACAAGTAGAAACAAGACTGCTCGTATCAGGGCGAAGCCCTGAATGTTCCGACTGCCTTTTAAGGTTTTATGGAGCAGTAATAACATTTAAAAAATTAAATTTAATTAAATAAATTTAAAAAAATTTTAATTTGAAATTTTTTATGAAAATCATCCCCCCACACGCCATTTAAAGTACAAAAAGATAGATTTAGCTCCTTGTAACAAATCAATTATGGCAAATAAGCTTCTTTCAACCAATTTGGAACGATTTTAAGACGGATTAACTCTCCGCTTACGCGTTAATAGCGCGAAACATATCGCGCGTTAATTGTCCCAAATTGGCCAAAATGGCAATCTTTAAACCCCCATAACTTTACGAAAAATGATCACAGGTAAAATATCTTTTCAAATTTGAGCTCAGGACAACAATACATTTTGAATGATATAAAAATATTCCGTCAAAAATGGCTAGTTAAAAAGTCGAAATTTGTCTGAAGAAAAAAAAACCCACCCCGAGCACAAATATTCCGTTACTTTCGTATCGAAAGTCGGAACAATAAAGGCAAAGAGAAAACAATGACTTTTTGCTGTAGACAAACAAACACCACAATTTACCAATTGCAGCATTCAAGATTTGAATATTTATTTTCAAGCTTTTGGAGAATCTACGCTATTTCTTATAAAAATCTTAACTATTTCTTAACTTGTTTTTATAATCGATTATTTATCCATGATATTTTATAATCGATTATTTATCCATTATAATTGGTTATTTTAAAAGTTCATGGACACAGAGCATGAAATTTCGTTTAAAACGATTGTTTCCCTTGGAATCTCATTGCGGGCATGCCAAAATTTTTGTTTGCTTGATAGCTGATAGATCACGGTTAAAATTGAATCAATCATTACAAATACATGAATTAATTGTAATATTGTATCAAGCATAACCATCAAGACTTTGAATTCACTTTGAGTGCATCTTTTTCGCAGAAAAATTGAAGGTTACGGCCAGATATTTTTGAGATCTCAGCCAATTTAGCTCCAATTATACGCAGATCCATGCAGTTGTTTTTAAAGTTTTTATTTCGAGCCACAGCCCCACAAACACATGATAGCTTATCTGTTCAAGGCAAATCAAAGATTACAATGAACAAACCATACAATTCTGCGATACGACAAATCTTGCTTTCTTCTGCCATCCTTGAGGACAGGCTTTGGATCTACAGCAGAAGTGGAATCGGACCAAAATTTCTGGGCCCGAACCCAGCGCGAGTTCTTCGTTTTAAAAAGGCAGGCCCGAAAAATTACCTACAACAAACTGGTTGGACTTGGTCCATAAAATTTCGTTTTTTTTTCACAAAAAAACTCATTCGAACAACGCAAGAGATGAAACAAAATCGTACGCATCCCAAACTACGTATTTTTGTTATTTTTTGGCATCCTTTTATTCCCTCAAACCGGCGGAAATTGTGGTGAGCTGGAGTTGTGGGAGTGGAACGTGGGGATGCTGGTATAGGAAAGGCGCGTATTGGGAGGACTTGCGGTAGGGGGTTATTTAGTGGGGGACGTAGGGCTGTGGGTAGGTTTGTGAGTACTGAACATGGGGAACCTAGGTGTTCGTTTGGATTCAATTTTTGCACAAAAAATAGAACAAAAGAGTAGTTGTCTACAAAAAATTAAGCTTTTTTTGGATTTTATATAAAAAAAAATCGACAATGATGAAAACGAAAAGAATTATAACGGTCTTTGATAAAATTTCTGCTATCTTAATTGATTATAATTAAATGAAGTTCCATTAGGTTGTCTATATTTGCTACGGCTATTGAACATCTACATAAAAGTTTCGCAAAAACCCCATTTTAGTCAAAATTTATACCCATGAAGATTCGGTGCCGTTTAATTAACAGATAACACTCCAAGAATTGGCGAAATGGGAAATAAAATATTACTCATTTATTGCTACCCATTTATAAATTTTAACAAAACGAGTATTTTCGAAAATTGATTTTTTTTGTTATTACGATACCGAAACACGATCATTATGTTTTTGATGATGTTTTTGAGTTTTGCGCAAAAAATATACTATTTTAGAGCTTTTCGTATGAGAAAATAGTGAGATAGCGAATTTTTCTCACGAATCTTATAAGAAGTTCTTAGATAGGGGATGGTCGGACCGGGTCATTGTGAAGTTCTTACATTTAAGTTGAAACTGAAAAACCATAGATATAAAAATAATGAAGAAACTCGATTAAATTATTCTAAATAATTTTGCTTGTTACACCAATTTACAGCAGTAACAATGTTAAAACTTTTTTTATGACCACGTTGACCCTATCACTTTTACTTGATTCAATCTAAACGGCTTTTAAAACCATAGCATCAAAAAACACCCAGGGTTGGATCTAGGATAATTTTGAGTGTGGTGGATTTTTTAAAACAATTTTAAATTATATGACAATCTTTATGTTGATATCCGAGCTCACTAAAATCACGATAAAGTCACACTTTTGGTAAAAGTTCAAAAAACCGGCAAAATGATGCTTTTAAGCAACATTTGTATATTTTTCTGTAGAAATCCAGTTTTTTTTATGTGCGGGTTCTCCACATTGGGCAAAAAAAAACAACTTTAGACCAATTTATTTGAGCAGCTTTTTTTTCATCACACTTTTTCAATAAAAATCACATCTAGGAAATCACTAAATCTTGGGAATCTCTCAAGAATGAAGAAAAAAAAGTACGCCCACCGCCCCCCCCCCCCCCTCCCCCACCACTAAATCCGCCCCTGGTTTTTTTTTATATCGTTTTATAATCGATTAGTAATCCTTTATAATTGGTTATTTTAAAAATTTTATGGATACAGACCATGAAAATTTATTAAAATCAATTTTTCTCATTAGAACCTTTTTGCGGGTACGCCAAAGCTTTTGTTTGCTTGATAGTTGATAGAGCACGTTTAAAATTGAATCAATCATTACAATAACATGAATTAGTTGTAAAATTGTAGCAAGAAAAATCATCAAGACTTTGAATTCACTCTGAGTGCATCTTTGTATTAGAAAAATTGAAGTTAAGGGCCAGAAATTTGTGAGATCTCAGCCAATGTAGCTCCGATAACACGCAGACAAATCAAAGATTACAATGAACAAACCATACAGTTCTGCGATACGACAAGTTTTGCTTTTTTTCTGCCATCCTTGAGGTCAGACTTTAGATTTACAGCAGAAGGTGAATCGGGCCAAAATTTTTGGGGCCGAACCCAGCCCGAGTTTTTTGTTAAAAAATGGCAGGCCCGAAAAATTAATTACAACAAACTGGCCGGACTTGGACC